GCAGAGGATCCCCAGACAGGACAAGGAGCTGCAGCAGCAGATCCCCCACACCATACAAAAAGGTTCCAATACAGTAGGCTAGCCACACAGGATTTCCGCCCACAAGGTCCTCACCGTCCCAGCCCGAGCCCACATACATACCACACCATGGGGTCAAAGCAAAGTCCCTGCCACTGACCCTCTTCCTGGTACCGTCCTGGGGAGGCCACCCCATGGATATCCAGGCAGCCAAAGCACAGAGAATGCAGGGAGGGCGGAAAAACGCCCCCGACCGTAGTCGCGGTGCCGCCAGCCTGTAAGACTTGCTTGACAGTTCATATCTCAATGTCTCTGTACTTTCCCAACACAACACAAGACTCCTCCTCCAGTTCTACTGTGTGTGCTGATTCCTGTAAGAGTGTGTCCCCTCTCTCTGCATTCCTATGATTTCACTTGTGTCTGGAAATTGCAAAGGCAGCGACTTCGACCATATCACTATTCTTCCATTGCGGACAGTTTTATTTGGAGTGCTCTTTAAACTATGCATTAACATTACATACCCACAGGTTTCAGACCAGCAATTGACCTATATTCAGGTTTTGTGACACTCACTTTTTTTTCATGGCCGCTTCTAAAAAGGTGCGGATTGAATACTGTGGCATTTTGGGAGGGTTTTTTTTTATTGTGGTATTTAACAAGCTTCCTGTTAAAGAAAAGCCAACATTAGAAGTATGAGAATAGACATATCTTCTGAAGCAATCACAGATACCTGGATGTCATGCTGACCATCCAGCTCCGATGCCCTGAAACAAGGACCCAGAAGAAATATGCAGATTAGTTTTGACTTCAATTGCTGAATACTACATTTGGGTCAAATCACAAAGCATTGAAGTCAAAGAAATCTGGGCAGCAAGAGGCCAGCATTTCTTTCTCATTTATGACTGTCAGTGTTCCTTTGACTCTTTTTTCTTAATGCTTTAGTTGTCAAGATGAGTGCACATGATTAGCTCACATGTACCTTGGCAGAGGTTTGATGATACCATAAAAACATTTTACAATGGGATTATGCATTAAAAATAGCGCATGATGGAGTTTTGCTCTAAAGTGAAACTACTGGTTTTGTTTAGAAATAAAACTTGCCCATGCAGAGCAGCTATGGAAGTTATAAGAATACAGGCAAATGTTACTGAAGATTATCTAAATCGTGTTTTGAAGAACAAAGCAGTTCACTGGATAAAATCTTTCAAATAGGAAAGCCTGGTTTAACCATCATCACAATGAACAACCTCCACAGCATTCCTTTACACATCCAAACCAACTCAAAGATGAAGCCACAGTTTAACATAAGTCACTTAAGGACATTGTTGAGATGCCATATTTAGCACAAAAAGGTGCATTACATTTGTCCTCAAGCTTTGCCCAGACCTCTAAAGAAATGGAGGGAGCCAATTACACGATTAATGTTAAACTCTAGGCAGATATAAAAAGCAATAATTAATACAGCTCTGCAACCATCAGATCGCTGAATGTATTTTCCAAATGCAAGCAGTGTTAGTACCAACATTCATCCTGGCATCAACCTCTTGCAGGCCCTGCACAGCAAAGCTGGAGGGTGAAAGAAAGGAGAGATAGCAAAGGAGCAGAGTGACAGATGAGCTCAGCACTATACTACTACTCCTTTCACTGTCCAATCACAGATCAGACTAAGAACATCTTGTGGAAGAAAAGGGTGTGTGAAGAGTACTGTGAGGGAAATCTCTGGATTGAAGGCAAATATTGCAGGAAAAGCTTGTTCTGCTTTAAAGGGACAAAGATTTTAGGAGGCACTACTGACGCTGTTAAACAAGTTTGATGTGTTCCTGCAGTTACAAAAATCATTGCAGGCTTTAGATCAAAGTGGAAAGGGAAACAGTCATAACATCAGATTTCAAGAAAGCAGAGTAGCTTTATAATAACATTTATAATTTACTATATTTTGTAAAGGCTGTCTAGACAGGGGCATCCCTACCGCCAGTGCAGGGTTGCGGCCCATTGAGATCTGGTTCTGGGCACCCCCCATTGGTGGAATAAGGGGCAGTGAAGGTCCCGGGCAGGAGCAAGTAAAAAAAAAATATCCTGTTTTCTTAATCACACAGTACAGGTCACTGGATCAGGGTCTAAACCATAAGACGTCCAAAAACAGTCCAACTGAGGGGTACACAACAACCAATGCCAAGAGGCACACATAATGGGTCAAGGACTTTATAAACCCAAACATCTTGGAGCACCTTATGCATCAATCTGGCATCAGCAGAGGCCTGAACATCCACCTGGTAAAGCTTAACAAATGTGGGAACAGAAGACGACCAGCAAGCAGCCTTGCGAAGCCGGGAAACAGAAACCTCAAGAAAAGCCATGAAAAAATAAGAGCTGGTATTGTGTGACATGGCAGATAAGGGTGGAACCTTATCTTTTACGCTATAGGCTTGAATGACTTATTTAATACACCTAGCAATGAGAAACAGGAAGCCTCCCTTTAGGAATGGGGGTTTAGTTGTCCAGGTCTTACAGTAGAGCTGGGTCCCTCGTTTAGACTTGAGGCCTGAGAAAAAAAAAAAAGTTTTCAGGAGCTTGGGTCTTTGGGGGGGTAAAAGGGTTCTCCTCTTTCTGTGACTTCCAAGATGTAAAAGTGTCTAAGGAATCACAAAAGAGGCATTGCTTATCAAAGGGCATCCTCACAAGGTGTATGGATCAGACAGACATTAGCATGGTAGCAGGTTGCATAGCCAGACCTGTTAGGGAGAACAAGGCCTTAAGGAGGGGCCTCTAAACTTTAGTCCACAGGCCAGGATATCCTAAATGGGGACTGTTTTTGGTTAAGGCAGGCTCCCCAATTGGGTGCAGTTAGTTATCAAACAGAACAGGCTGTAAAAGCGTCGTCACCAGACTCCTCCCCCTTCCCTTCGTTAGCCGACAGCCACTTGGGGAAGGAGTCCAGTGACGTCGATGTCCGTGACATCACCGGATCTCCGACGGAAGACCGGGAAGCCGGCGGAGGTGAGTACGGATCAAAAAAATTAACGATTAATCGTTAATTTCCGCAGCCCTACTAAAAAGGTATCACAACACCAGCATTTGTTTTCCTTGGTTCCACAGACATTCGGGGGTAGTCAGAGTACAGTAACTATTCATAATACTAACCTAAGGTTAAAAGTACACTCTAATCAACAAACAACCTTAGACAGCATGCAGGGACACAGCCTACATCCTTCGTAGTTTAGTTTTTCAGCCAGGCTTCGCTATAGTTCACCAGTCCCTGTGGTCAGTAATTTGGTGATCTGAGAACCACTTTACTTTGACGCAGCCAAAAGGGGAAGAAAGTTATGGTGCATTATAAAAGTGTAGTCTAACACATCTACTGTAGTCTACATGTGGTACAGACAAACTGAAGCTTAGCTCCGATATTTACAAACCCCGTTCTCTTAAGAAAAATGTCCCATGAATTTTGCAGTGGCGTTTTAATAAGACACACAAAATAATCACATTTCTTGCTGGCCATGTTTATTATTCTTAAATAGGGGAAACGATAGTACATAAATAGTATGCAAAATTCAGAGGCAAAACAAGTTTCCAGAGAATTGAGATACTACATGCTATTCTTCTCATGCAGGTTGGAAAACAAAAAAAATTAAAATAAAATTTCAGTAAAAACATACAGTAAAAGCCAAGAAAAAATAAAAGAATTCTTACATCAACTCTTAACTTACAGTAATGTACCATAATTCCATGCACGCCTTAACATTGCAGTAAAAAAAAAAAAAAAAAAAAAAAAAAAAAAAAAAAAAAAAAAAAAAAAAAAAAATTAAAAAAGTTTCTAGGAGTATTTAACGTTTACGACGTTCCTATGTTTTGTAGAGATCGGTCAAGCACTTTGAAAATACAAATTCCTATACACAGTGAGCATTTTCCTTGAAATAAGAGAAGAGTGGGGAGAAGAATGAAGCGAGAACACAACGACCTGTTAATATGCAGGCTAACTACACAATGTAAAATGTAAACTATAAATCAAATTTCTCCACTAGACCTGGACAACCTTTAACAGTCCGACTGTCATATTTCAAAGGGCTTAATTTAATAAGGCAAAGGGCAACGATTCACAGCAACCAATCAGAATATTCTACTGATGACTATAGAAAACTGAAATCTGACTGCACGCTATGGAGTACTGCAATTCACTGTATTTTTACACTGCCCTACCTAATAGGCTTGTCATTCTCCACAATCCTTGCCCGATAGTACGACATTGGTTGTAATTTTGACAGCTAGATGCCAAGATGTCCATTTACCAATCCAAGCCACTTCTGAGGCTTTGATTTTCAACACACACGTTGTGAATTTAATAAATAAAATACTGCATAATAAAACACTTCATTACATAGGATGCAGTCAAGAACATTTATAAATATTTCTGTAATTTTCTCATTTCAAGAATAGCTACTACAATAATGCTGGCTTAACAGAGGTGCATGATGGATAGCACTATCAGTGGCAAATCTACAGCCACAAACTGTTGTTACCTTGAGGTAGATAACACATGCGTACCGAAATCTGCATTCTTCAGTTGCTGCTGGTATCATGTGTTTCAAGAAATGGATATGAAAAAAGCTGAACACGATGACCTAGCTTAGAAAATAAATATAAAACTGACATCTCCATGAAGGTAAGTAATGTCTCACTGTGTTAATTAACATCAAGGCAAGATAATAGAATATTCAGAAAGGTAGCAACCAATTTTAGGTTTTTCTTCAGTTAGTGCATATTTCCTGTCTCCACCTACATTGCATTATCTTTTTTTTATCCTTGTGTGCAAATGTCATGCCAGTTTAAAATTAATATGTAGAAAGTAGTTTTAAATTGTAAAAACTATGGTAAACAAAACTAAATACATACTAAAATACAATTCAAGTAAGAAGAAAAAATGAATAAAAACACTCATGACAACTAATGAAGAGCACAAAAAAGAAAACAGAAATCAAGAAGAGTGTTTTAGTTTAAATGTTTTAGAATGCTGCTGTAGGCTTTATGGGGAACTTGAGGGGAGGACTTCATTGCAGAAGGTGTCAATGTGGCTTGTACTGATTTGAGGGGTGAGCCAATAGGATTCTGAAACTGGGGAATACCTATACAACCCAGCTGCTTACTAAAGATGATGTCACCACTGAAATTTGGTAAGAACTCCTCATTTTCCTTGCTGCTATCCTTTCCATCTTCTGCTGGCTCAGGGTCTGACACTTCTGTGTCTTCTTTCCTACTGAACAAGTTGTCTAAGTAACCTGTATAAGTGTTTTCCTTCTGATTGTGATCATCCTTCCTTACTTCACAACAAAATTGATCTATTAGGAAGCAGTCTTCACCAGTTACGATGGAACTGTCCCAAGAATTTTGGTTTCGAGTACCCAATTGTGCTAGGTTGACAATGCCTTTCTCTTGTTTTTCCATGCTTACAGACTTTGATATTAAGGACTTGTATTCAAGTTGTGTTACAGAGCTATTCAAGTCGTTGAGCTTGTCAACACTGGAAGAATCATCTTGCTGACTAAGCTGAATGGTACCTGCTATGAATGAATCAAAGTCAAATTCTTTGCGTTTTTCCCTTTCTTTTTCAACTAGCTGCTCTGATGCTTCTTTAAGGGCTATCTGAGCCTTCACTAAACCATTCTTTTCACATTTTGATTTCCCCTTCTTATCTAACTTCTCCTTATTTTGCTCCTTCCAGTTGGAAAGATTGATAATAAGTTTTGGCTCATAATAATGGTTGACCTCACTCTCCCTCCATACTAAGTTATCTAGGTAAGAGGAGGAAGTCATTTTGTAGTTACAGGTATGGCTGCACTCAAGATCACAATATTTATTCTCATGGTGGTTAGAGTGCTGCCAAGAATGCTCAGCAGAGAAGTATGGATCAAATGCAGGATCTTCTAGATATTTCTCTCGCTCTCCATCCAGATATTTGCGAGGATCCACCTGAACCTCTTCCTCGTCGCTTCCATCCGAGAGAGCCCTTGGATCACGCTGAACTTCATCAGCTTCAAAATTATTATGAATAGGCCAATCATGGTCTGAACACTGGCTGTCATGGTACCTGAAATAAGAAAAACAATGCCATCATAACTACCACTTTTACCTAACAAAATCACTTACAGGTTTATAAAAACTTACATATTTGGTACCAAAGGAATACAAATCATTGTGTAAGATTATGGATATCTAGAGGTCATTAGGAATTAGTTATTATAAGCATTCTGACCGAGCTAAAAGTGTTCAATAGATTACGGTACATTTGTCAGTCCACTGCAATAAATGTTTGCTTGCATCTGTAGTGGGTGGGCACCAGACTCGCAACATTTACATAGGATTAGTTTCCCTGTTCAGTCACATGACACTCACCACTGTCAGAGAGGCGGACATACTGAAAGCAATAGGCATTGCCTCAAATGGGCAAATCAGCAGTGCTATCACCAGTAACACGAGTTTAGACCAGAACGACAGAAAGCCCCTTTGATGTCCAACTCCCACCCTGTACTTATTATTCAAGTTAATGGATGATTGCTTCAAAATCACCTGTAAAGTCCAAATGTAAGGTATTCTTTTCTTATGATCAGCTTACAAAGTATGTTAAGCACAGAGCCATAAGGGTGCATTCACACCAGATACATTGAGGCTGCGCTGGCCAGATTTTGAATGAGCTCCATTCACACCACCGAGTTGCAGTGGTGTGTGCTTAAAAAAAAAACCTCACATGCAGTATTTTTTTTGCAGAGCAGCAGGTCATAATGCTGTACAACTGCATCGCACTGCATTATGCTTGTAGAACTTAATGAAATGTCACTCATTGCATTTAAATAAACTTCTGATGAACAAAAAAGTAAACCGCACGCCTGGCAATGCACACCATCGACTGTGCGTTGTAGTGCAGCTGATGGTATGAATTGGCACCAAGTATGCGCAGAACAGCTTTAAGGGCATGCTATGACAATATCTGCTATGAGCTTCACTGGAGAGAAAAAAAAAAAAAAAAAGTAACAGCAATGTAAATTTAAAAGAAATGGCACCAAACCCTTTTTAATCCAGATTCAGTTCCTTGTAAAGAGATGTATTTTGATTTTTTTGAAGTGTCACATGTAGAGAAAAATTTTTTGTAAATACCAGTTGCTTTCCCCACTCATAATTATTGTATAGAATGGTGAAGAATGACAAATAAAACAGAATCACAAGCAACTGTCTAATTTGACTGGATGTGTAATGGCAATATTTTGCAATGGCGTTTTAAGTGACACTAATCTCCAGAGTTAAATCTTAAAAATGCATTCAGGTACCTTAACCATTAACAAAAATGTATCTTATTTGTGTATCACCCAGCTGTAGATCCTCAAATCATCTCTGAATTCATACCGACACTGTCCCTTCTGGAGGGTGGCTACCTTTGTTCCCCATGGTCCCTGTGTGTGTTGTAAAGTAGCCACCACTCCAAGCTCGCTCCCGTGATGGACTACAATTTTGTTACAAATTAGTAAACTAAAACACAAAATTGTAGTCCATCACGGGAGCGAGCTTGGAGTGCTGGCCACTTTACAACACACACAAGGACCATGGGGAACAAAAGTAGCCACCATCCAGAAGGGACAGTGTGAGCACCAATTTAGAGATGAATTGGGGGATCTACAGCCGGGTGATACACAAATAAGACACATTTCTGTTAATCGTTAAGGTACTAGAATGCATTATTAAGATTCAACTATTGAGTTTAGGGTCACTTTAAAAACAAAACGTTTAGGTACTATTGCTGAAAATACTAGACATTCTTTACTGTAAAAAAAAAAGTTAACTGATAGATTAAAATCACATGTTACAGATTACATTAAAAGTGTGCCCATATCAAGTTAATACAGAATTTTAGTAATCTTACCTTTCCCAATTATAGACATGGCTGTGGTTGTCATCCATCAACAATATATCATCTACCTCATCTTCAATGTGAAAAGGATGGTTTGAAATTGGCTCATCCAAAGGGAAAGAATAGATGTTCATATATGGGTGAGACAAAGCTTCTTCTGCCGTTAGTCTGTCCATAGGACTAAATGTCAGGATTTGCTCCAGGAAGTCTAGAGCTGTTAAGGATACGAGGATGTAATTGCTATTGCGATACTTAAAAGTGCAATTATTGAAATGATTATGTTTTTAACTGCTTACCTTCAGGACTGATCCCTGGAAGTAGCTGTGTTAAAGGAGTATGTGGCTCGGTCATATCATTTTTGATAAAAATTGGGATAACACTGAGAAGCTCTTGTTTATCTTCTTCATGAACAACAGGTATGGACTCCAGAATTAGCTGCATTTGTTCGAGTTCATGTGCACCTTTTAAGAGAAAAAAAAAAACGACAAGAAGGTGTAATAGTGGACACAAATTCTTGTTACATTTTCACAGCTCACCTTGGCATGCACCAATGATAATTCCTGAAGCATGGAAGGGAGCAACACTTAACTGAAGCTCACAGACCATCCTTCCAGTAGTCATCACACGCAGCCTGAAGAACAAATGGTAATCCAGATTCAACTCCAAAATTCTTCATTACAAATTTGGAAGCAGAGGCTGTCTTACATCAAGCTCTGATTCAAGCTTACCGCAATAGGGATGGCAACTGAATAAGGAAGGCATTGTACTTACAGCCAAGAGCATAACTAAATCTAGGAAGGTAAAGCGCCAGTATGTAAATTAAAAAAAAATAAAAAATTATTCAATGTTCGATTTGGTTTGTGATGTATGAAACTTCTTAATATGTCACAAGTTATTTATTTTTATTACAGAAAATTGAAATCAGTGCTAGTATATCAGCTACATTGTACATGGTAATGGTGTATCAGCCATACCCAACGCACAGCTTTTAAAAAGGCCCATGCTATAACAAATTCTGTCTAATTATTAAATATGCAGAAACAAACAGCAATTCCGTTGGAAGGGCAGATAAGTCAGCGTAGTACTAACCTGCAAAAAGGGTTTTTCCAGTCAGCATTTCAGCAAAGATGCACCCAGCTGCCCACATATCAATAGCCTTAGTGTAGTTATTTGGTGAAAGTAAAAGGCGTGGAGATCGGTACCATTTGGTGACAAGTCCTTCAGAAAGATGTCCCTGTGTAGATTTAAAACAGGTCACAATTACCCACATACGCTGTAAACACCCATGTGCAATAAGAGTTTATGACAAGGCAAGATGTTGTTTATTCCCCATTCCACACTAATGAACCAGACACTTCCAGAGCACACAATGTGAAAGAGTCAGTGAATAACTTGGGCCAGTGATCCAATCCAGTGTTTTTAGAGTATGCCACTGTCCTTAATTCTTGTGCGACAAGGGACATTGAGTTCCATGTTTAGTTCATGCTTTTAATCAGCATATCATGGAGAAAAATGTCCTTGTCAAAGAACAAAACTGCAGTATGTAGAAATGTTCTAACCCTGCCCAATATGACTGTTTTAGCCAATCAAAGGAGGATATGGCTCACCCCTTCAGCTTGACTGCTAATTTATCAGTAGGGGGGCTTACTAATTATTTGTGTGTGGTAACCTCTTACATTCAGATTTCAGGTGTAAGGATTTCACACTGTGAAAGACACCAAACATTTAGCCGAATGTCCAACCAAAAAAGAAAGAAAAAAAAAAAAGAAGGATACATGCATTATTTGACCAGTAGCTCACTTTCACTGTAAAGTAAAGCTAGAGAACACTAACATATTTAAAGTAACACTAAACTCAGGAGTTACATCTTAAAAATGCATTTAAGTACTTTTACGATTAACAAAAATATATCTTATTTGTGTATCACTCGGCTGTAGATCCTCAAATCATCTCTGAATTGGTGCCGACACTGTCCTTTAATAATACAATTTAGTAATCACCCGAAAAAAATGAAATTGAGTTATTTAGTCCAATCTGTATGTCATGGATGAATAAGATGAACAGGATTGGTCCCAGGACTGGAAAACACCACTCCCTTTTTCAATTAATCTGCATTAAGAAAATATGGGATTTATTAGCTCTGCATTACAAAATAATAACTGGGTCCTTAAAGGAGAACTATGAAGCGAGCGCTTTTCACTCATCCTCATAGTTCTAGCCGACCTGTGACAATGAAACTGTCACAGGTCGGCTCAGTAGATCGGGAAGTGAGCAAACACATACCGACGTTCGCTCACTTCTCTTCCCGATCTTGTCACGGCACAGAGCCGTGACAGGGGAGGGACTGGATTCCCCATCTGATCCTCCAGCGCTGACTGGCGGAACGTACAGGGGAGGAGGGGGCGGGTACAGCTGGCTCTGCCTCTAGATATGCAGAGCCAGCTGTCAATCACACAGCTGGGCGGATCGCGGTATACTGAGCTTAGGGTGATGGGAGGATGCTAGTTTATGTCCTCCCGTTATCCGTAGGAGAACTATGGGGAAAAGCCCAAAACCCATAGTTCTCCTTTAAACAAGTTGCATTTCAGCACAAATCCCTATAGAGACTACACAGTAATTACAGGATGTGCTCAGAGCTCATAATAAATCTCTAAAGTCCCATTTATTTGAAATGTATTCACACATAGCTGTATGTTAAATCAGTGAAAATTGTACAGTCATGGAGACATGTCCATTCATTAGAACACTACTTGCGGAGAGATGGCGAACCCAAAAACTTGTAACACCCATGGATATAACTATTACATTACAGCTGGATTCCGAAAGAAAAAAATGTAATTGAAAACAAATGTAAAAAAAAAAAAGTTGTAAATTCTTTTAGTGTAAAATGCATCTAGAAAAGTCTTGGGGAAATGATTTGTAGGATTCCAGCAGATATCGGAAAATGCTGATGGGATGTGACGCTTCCACTTCGCTACCTGTAGCCAAATTGGCTTATTCGATACATAGTCACACGCCTTCACAGGCCAAAAATGATCAGGCTTCCTGCTTGATTTAGACTGTGGAGCGTCACACGTAGTCTGTCAGCTGCCCAAATTGATCGCAATTTGCCACAAGAGGAAAACTATAAACTCCATCACCATGGCTCACATGGCACCAGAAATCTAAAATTGTGAGCTTGATCACCATGACTCACAGTGAGCAGAGCAAACCATAATTTCATTTCACAGTGAAAATATGAATCTGCCGAGATGTTGGGGGGAGGGGGGTCCCAGATATTTCAGAAGCCATATTCCACCCTTATAATTTCAAGCTGTGAATCCAAGAGGCCCTGACAGAAAGGAGACACCTAAAACTGGGGTGGACCAAATATGATTGTGCCAAGGTCCTGTACCCATGGACACCAGAAGGTGTTTGGCCTACATTTCCCAAGCCTGCTGGGAACTTCCCTGTGTGTCAGGCCTAAGAGGGAAGGTTCCACTTGCTAAGGAGAATGATAAGCAATAAGGTATGTGTACAGACACATTTGTTGCTGGTTTATATGAGCCCAAAAGAGACCTATATTGATTTCCTAGTTTTTAGTAACAAAGTGCTATCTATGGGAGTCAAGCTCTGGAGTACTTCTAAAGTAGGCAAACAGCATGGGGTGTATTTCTAAACAATCCGCAGAGCCATTCATCCTGCAAAAGTGCTCATACATTTGTTCCGTGGGAATAGAGGCAAAAATCGAATATTAGCTTATTTTCTTCTCAGATTGAAGGTAATTTCAGATAAATACATTATGGCCACTAAACGGAACTGCGGAGCAAAGGAAACAAACACTTCTTTCCTATGCTCCCCTGCTCCATCTAGTGGTCATAATGCTGTATTTACATTGGGACTGGAACGAAAATACGCCAATATTCCTTTTTACCTCTATTTACACAGAACAAATGTACATATATTTTCACAAGATAATTGGTGCAGTGATGGTTTACAAAAACACCCATGTGTTAATTTGGTTTAATACTGGGATGCCACCATTTAATAATACATCTTGCGTCACTGACATAGAACTGGTATGCAGATCAGGAATTCCATCTTCACTACATACCTTTTTTAGGTCCGTTACACAAAAGGTACTAAATAAAGCAGCAAGACAGTCAGGGAACTAGCATTTTCAAAAGGAGGAGGAAGGCTGGATATATACCACCGGATCATACCACTTTGGAATCCTAACCATACCATTATCACTCTATTGTGTTTTCAAAGTGGGTCTAATAAAGAGAAAGGGGCAAACAAGAAGTGCCCATGTCCTAAAGTGACACACAGTACCTGACCAACCTGCAGCATTGCCACAGCTGTCCTGTACAGAAACTACTCCCAGAAAACACAGTAATTAACACCAAACATCACCATTGCTACCATTACTTATATTAAAAATTACTCACCTTGTGGGAATAATGGGGATCCATGATACGTGCAAGACCGAAATCTCCGACTCTTACCACCAAATCTTCAGTGTTAATAAATAGGTTTGCTGGCTTAAGATCTCGATGCAGCACATTAGCGGAGTGGATATATTTAAGCCCACGTAGCAGCTGGTACATAAAGAGCCTAGCATGCTCTTCACGAAGTGGGCCTTGCTCTAGGAGCTTGGCTAGATCGGTCTCCATATACTCCTGAACAATATACACACAGTTCAGCTCAGTCAATGAGCCCACATCATCGGTTAAGCAATTTCCGTTAGGGCCGAGAATTTCAAATAGTTTGACAATGTTTTCATGATCAAGTCTTCGGATAATTTTGATCTCGCGCAGAGCATGTTTGACACTCTGGGGGTCGGTCAGAACAATTTTCTTCACAGCCACTCGCTTATCACAGTCATTATCAACAGCAGAAAAAACTAAGCCATTACCACCATAGCCGAGGGGTTTTAAGTCCATGTATCTAGAGCCCAAATCAAACCCATGAATGTTCATGAGGCTTTCAAACTTTTCTGCCATTTTGGCTACTTTACTTCCTTTGTCCAGAAATTATCACTTTTCCTAAATACGTGACAATAAACCACTGCTGGTATCTAAAGAAAAGATTTCATATACCTTCCACAAAAGAAAAAAAAAAAAAAGCTCTTCTTTAGACTGGTTCGCTTCAATTCTCATTGCATAACAGCCAGCCAGGCCTGGTGGATCCCGCAAGCCACAACGCTAAAGCTCAGTTTGGATTGTAGAAAAAAGGACTGTATTCATAGTTCACAAGAGATGCAGCATTCCAGCAAACATCAACAAAAACACTCAATGGAAGTGAAACGGAATGAAATGACATACTATGCACGCGGCTCTAGTGTGCAAAACAAATGGACATGGAACAAAAACGTGAATAAATATGCAAGATATAGGCTTCTATCATCATCCTCCTCACAGTGCAGATACATTCAGTGTTGAACTGGTCCTGAGCAGCGTCATTCTATGGTGCTGGTAAGCACTAGAAATGATTTTTAACAAGATGTTGTTTGTATACAGTGCATCCGAAAGGGGAACCGTGGCAGACCTTAAATTACAGAAGAGTTCTTCTGTTAATGATCAGGTGGCTCCAGCTCGCCACAATCACAATCAAAGCTGCTATCCATCTTATTTTCAGAACTCCTAAAGGAAGAAACAAAAAAAGATATTGGCAAAGATTATATAAGAAAGGCACATTTTCCATCAATTAAAATCTTAAATGAACAGTTACAGGACAGAATGGAGCCATAACTATAAGAAACACTCCAATAGAAGTTTGATGCTTTCAAACACTTGGATGTCACTTGTGATACACTGACCAATACAAAACATTGCAGGCAGCAATCAAATCTGGAACATGGTTAGTGAAAGGTGGATCAGGCCATTTCAGGGTGTCAAATCTGTCCAGAATATTTCATCATTGACAACATGGAAGAGTGGAGCGATCACCTGGACTTTGCCAGCTGTGAATAGTCTATAAGAAATGGGAGGTTTCCGTTATATACCCAAAGGCAAGGGGGGAAAGACGACTAGAGGAGGTGATTCTGGTCTCCAGAGACAGAAGTAGAAAAACAAGGATAATATCAATGTAATAACTGTGCATAACAGGAAGGTGGGGACAGGGCAGGTCCAAAACTTGATTTAAAGGGGAACGTCAGCAGATTGTCTTTTGTTTTGGCTAGCATGAGAAACCGCTAAGACTTGTCCAGTTATTAAAAGAGAATTATGGGGTAAGTGTTTTTCCCCATAGTTCTCTTAAGGGTCACGGGAGAACATATACTGGCGTCCTCCCGTGACCCTAAGCTCAGTATATCACTAGCAACAGCTCGCGGCATACTGAGACCACCGCAGCCGGGATGGATCCAGATAATTCTATGGAGATCCACCCAGCTGCGTGACAGCTGGCTCTGCCTATCTAGAGGCAGAGCAAGCTGTGCCCACCCCCTCCTTCCAGTCAGCGCTGGAGGATTGGAGGAGGGGGGGAACCCCCGCGGGGAGCCGTGACTGAGGCCGGTGACATAACTAGGACCCCGGGAAGATGGTGGATCCAAAAGCTCCAGAGAACACACTCCAAGACTGTACAGGGTCACATCTCCAGGGATTTGGGATCCTCAGCTTTCCCACAATCATGTGACATGCACCTTGTCTAGGTGAACATACCAGAAGCCATGGGCTAAAGCCACTTTTTTTCTTTGTTACATGTATTCCTTATTTGGCTGATTTATTTATCTTTTTTAATGGGGAAGGGGAGTAAATGGCCTGCACGGTCTGTATAAAACCCTTTAAATAAAGTAAATCAGCACTTCATGAGGATGATATAGCGTTGCCAGTGTCAAAACAAAAACATTTTTTAGGGCTCAAAAAATGTAAAGCTGGAAGACTAGTGAAGATCACAGTGTGTGTATATGTATAATATAAATAAATACACAGACATTTTTATATACACGTTACACACAATTCCAACCACAGCCTCTAAGGGAAAGGAAGATGTACTGATCATACGATTCAATCTTTCCCTATGACATCAGCTTTCACCAGCTCTGACGTCAGCAGTGACGCGCTTGTTCCGGACATTCTGCGGGGAATTCCTCTACTGCCCCCAGACAATGGGCGGGCAGTAGAATGGGGAACCATCAGCCCACACGTGTGGGGGTGCAAGGTTCCCGGCCGTGCCCCATGCGGTGACAGTACACAATAGCAACCCGGCTCCTTATGCGGCGCACACGTTGCACATTGACCATGTGAGTCACCTCATTCCACTTTCCTTGTCCCTCTCCCAGGCCCCTCCCACTCCCGGATGTGGTGTTCATGGCTCGGCACAGAGCGCCCCCGATAGCAGGCAGCGGTGATGGCCTGTGGCCAGGATTTTAATCAGACATGACACCGCCCGGCCATACAATAGGCCTCAGAGAAAGGAGCACGCTTCATTATTCTCACTAGTCTCGCCTTCCTCTAGTAAATGCAAATGAAGCTGCGGCTGTGTGTGTCACCTTAGCCCAATCACAGCACCTGGAGCGGGGATTCGGGGCTTCTATTGGCTACGTTGCCGGAGTCCTGCCTCCTGAGCCCGGCTCCATTGCGAAGCTGCCAGCTGGGCCGGCCGCACGTCAATCAACGCCGCTTTGTACGGGGGCCCCCGATTCACCATTCGCGGTACGCTGGGATTCACATCCACGTAAGGGGTCCGTACGCTATGAGCGCAAGGGTCCCCCTCACACACAGCGGCGTCCCCTTTACAACAAAGTGAAGGTGATTCGGCGTTAAAGGAATGCCGCGGGAGAAACCGCATAAGCGGCGGGTGTAAAACATTGCTGGGGATAAGATAAAGGAGAGCGGCGGCATCCCCTTGTATGACCAGCCCGGATACCCAGGAGATGAGCCCCTGCGCCCGCTGTAATTACACTAATAAACCCCTTAGAGCCCTCCGGACCCGCTGTGTTCCGGGTGAGGCAGGAGAGGATTGGGGGGGAGCCGGGCGGTGTGTATACAGAACGATCCATTGTGGAAGAGCCGGACACACTATTGTGACTCACACAATAGAGACACCGGCAGGCGGCCATAGCACGGAGGGATCGGCTCCCCGGGACAGAGGGGGCACGGGCGGCTACTTACAGCTCTCGTCTGCTTCATAAGGAGAGGGGACAAAGCTCCGACACGCCGCACAGCTGCTCCTCTAGTCCTGCGTCTTCTCGCTCGTTCTTTGCCGCAGTCGCCATGTACCCGGACTGACTGCTAAGGGGGAGGAGATTCGCAGACACCCGATCTGCCGCCTACTGCGTCACTTGAAACGCCCCCTGCAGGCCACTGCGTCACCCGGCGGGAGAATTCAAACGGGTGCCTTCTCGTCAATCAATCGGAGTCTGTCAATCACAGCAGGGGGAGGGGCCAGGAGCATGGCGGGGGGAGGAACCGACTCCTGGCTATCAGAAGGAGAAGAGCTGGGTAGCCAAGTATATGAAGGGGAAAGGAATTGGTGCGTGTCACAGCATGGAGGAGGAGCCGAGTATATGGCTGGGTGGAGGAACCAGAGCCTGTCAATCACAGCATAGGGGGAGGAGCCTGGAGCCAAGTGTATGGCTAGAAGGAGGAACCGGTGCAGCAAGCGGCAGCTTACTCATCGTGTTTCTATAGAGAATCGTGTAGCCGCTTGTGCTGAGGAGAAACTATTAGTCAGACATTCAATGTCACGAGTACTGCTGAAAACCTGCATGTCTTGTTCTGAGCATTATTACATGAAGAAAGAATGATTACAGTAAAATATTAAAAGCAGGAATACAATGCAGTGCAAGTCACAGACCCAGTGCCATGTTCTGCATAGGGGCCCATTCACACCTAGCCACAGTGCATGTGCTCACCCACATTCAGGCATGTTGTGTTAGGCAACCTATCCAAAATGAATGTAAAGCTGTCCATACACCCAGTGGCGACTCTAGGAACAATATATAGGGGGGGCACATGAGATACCACAGTCAAAATGGGGGGGCACTAATAATTTTCACCACTAAATCATACCACTGAAAATAACTAAACAGGGGCGTAACTAGAAATCACAGGGCCCCATAGCAAAGTTTTGCATGGCCCCCCCCCCCTCCCACAAACTACAAACCCCCCCGATCAAAAAAAAAAGAGTAATGCTAATGACTGAAGGGATCGCATACACAAAGTCTCCTTGCGTTCTGGGGTGGGAAGGGACCTGGCAGTGCCATTCATGTCAATGGAACTGCAGACAAACCCGGCCTGCAAAAAAGTGTGCACAATATTTTGTGATTGCACCACACTTAAACGCAGGGCAATGTATCACCATGCGTTCTGGTGCAGCTGATGACATGAATGGCACTGCCAGGCCCACTCCTACCCCAGAACGCAAGGAGACTTTGTGTATGCTATCCCTTGCATTATGGACAAGGGTGTAAACAAGCCGTTACATTATGGACAAGGGTGTAAACAAGCCGTTACAATTGTAGGAGTCAGAAGAGCCACAGTGTAAATAAAAAACAATTACAGCAATGTATTTCAAGGTATAAAAGGGCTTTAGGGCTTATTCACACCAATTACAGTGCGTTCCTGGGAGGTAGCTGCTGAAACACACACTAAATTCCCCCCTGCATTCGAGGTCAGGAGGGGGGTGGCTGTGCATTGAAGACAATGGCACCACAGCCAGTGTGATTGCAAAAAATGCTGCATGCACTATTTTTCCTATGCATACACCTATAGATTATCTGCAGATTTTCTATGGTCAGATGGGAAAAGTGCAACAGATTCCTCCATCCCGCTGGGCCAACTTCAGTATCTTGCTAGTCGGCCCCACTGGCTCTGAAAGTACCTGAACAATCTGATTGGATGCAGGCAATGTTCAGGTATTTTGAGAGCAAGCGGGCCGACTAGCAAGATACTGAGGCTTGGCCCAGTGGGACAATGTACCATTACCACAAAAAGGTACTATGAACGAGCCCTTAATTTGACCCATTCACGCCACATCCAATAGACATGTGCGCCAGCGAAAAAAATTTGTTTAGCTTCGCTTTCATTCTGATTTTTTTTTCATTTGTTTTGTGGGATGCGGGTCAATTCGTTTCTGGATTTGGATTCGGAAAAAATCCAAATTTTTCATTAGCGGTAGTCTGTATGAATTTTCATTATGAACGAATGTCTGTTGCAGCAAAGTGACAAACTTTATTTTTATTTTTTTTACAGTCCGAAGGGGAAAAAAAAAAAGTGAGGTTCCCCCCAATGTTAGGAGGGACCCCCCAAGGTAAAACTAAAAAAAAAAGTGTGTGGGGTTCCCCCAAAAGTCATGCCAGGCCCTTTAGTTCTTCTAGGAATTTTAAGGAGGAACCCCACCCCAAAAAAATGGTATGGTGACAAGGGCCTCTTCTCCACAACCCTGGCCCGGTGGTTGTGGGGGTCTGTGGGCAGGGGGTTTATTTGCATCAGGGTACAACCTTTAATTAAGGGGGCACCCAGATGCCGCTGCCCCCCCCCCTTTTGAATATCGCTTAATTGTTCTTCAATTAAACAACTTTTTAAAAACGTGTGGCCTCTTTATTTACTTTTAACCCTTTAGTGAATGAGAAGGGGTACAAGTACCCCGCACTCATTCAAAATGGGGGGGGGCGGCATCTGGGTGCAAATCCCGCTGACCCCCACAACCACCAGGTCAGGGTTGATAGTCCCTCCCCTTTCCTGCTCTGCCGGTCCTGTGCTTGGATCAAAGGTCTGGTAAGATTACACACCAACATATGCACTGGAATGTAATAAAGTGTACTGTCAGTAATGTATCCTATGGAAAACATCAACATCACAAAATACAAAAATAATTAACAAATACCACAAAACACAGAATAAAAACAATCAAAATTCTTCAAAAGACCAGAGGGGAAAATACATGGGTTGTGCAGAGCCTAATGTATTATAAATATGTGTCTTGAATAATATGGCAGTGTGGACTCTTGTGTCCTCCCAAAGTTCACTCTTGTGATGGACTACAATCTCAATACAAATGAGTAAACTAAACATGAGATTGTAGTCCATCACGGGAGTGAGCTTGGAGCGGTGACTACTTTACAACACACGCAAGGACCATGGGGAAGAAAGGTAGCCACCCTCCAGAAGGAAGGACAGTGTCAGCACCAACTCAGAGATTATTTGAGGATCTACAGCCGAGTGATACACACATAAGATATATTTTTATTGATGGTAAAAGTACTTTAATGCATTTTTAAGATTTAACTCCTGAGTTTAGTGTCACTTTAACGTGGAAAAGGTTGCCAAACCATGTAGTAGGCCATAGGCAACTGTATCAGATGTTTTGTGCTGTGTTGTTGTAAAAGACAGGTGTATCAGTTTTATGCTGTTCCAGCAGCCTTGCCATCACCCTAAAGGTGCCCATACACTGCACGATTCTTGTATGAGAATCGCGGGAAATCCCGCGATCGTACGAGAATCGTGCAGTGTGAACGAAGAGCCCTGCTAGATCGTACGAGAATCGTGCAGTGTGAACGAAGGAGCATGCTAGAAAACCAGCCGAAAATCTTATGATTTTCGGCTGGTTTGAATGATGCTCGGGAGACAAATGCCGAACGGGCCGGTGTGCGCACACGCACACGGCCCGTTCAGCATTGCGGTCATTGGAAGCCCGCCCCTCAGGGGGGCGGGCTTGCGATGATCGCAAGTACGATCTGCCTGTCCAAGATGGGCAGATCGTACGTTTTTTAAATTACTTTACAACCATCGCAAGACTAAAGGTGGCCATACACTTTATAACCATCGCAAGTCGTGCAGTGTATGGGCACCTTTAGGTCTTGCGATGGTTGTAAAGTGTATGGCCATCTTTAAATCACAGGGAATCAACCTGTTTTCTACATTTCTCACCTGGCCTCACTGCCAGATGTACAAATCTCCCTTGATTCCTCCCTATCACCAGAGATCAGCCCCACCTGTCTTTCCTGCAAAGTTGCCAGATGGTTTGGGGGTTTTTTTTGCAAGCCATTCCTCAATACAGTATATTGATGTATATAAAGATGAGTATACACTGAGTGGCCAGATTATTATGACCACCTGACGTTTGTAGGCAAATTAGCTATAATTAGCTATAATTTCGCGCTGAAGTTGCTAGAGGGCCAGACCATTATAAATAGCGAAGCAGGTCGTTTACCACGACAGTAGAAGTGATTTTTTTCGGAAGATATGGGTAAACTACGCGATTTAACAGCCTTTGTACGTGGGATGATTGTTGGCGCTCTGAGCCATGGAGCGAGTATCAGCAAAACAGCAGAATTCGTTAAATGTTCAAGAGCAGCTGTTGTTAAAGTGTTTAAAGACTGGACTGTCAGCCGGAAATCTGGGTCTGAACGTGCGAATTGTGGCCGTCAGCGACTAGTCAATGTTAGGGCAGAACGGAGAGTGGCAAGACTGGTACAAGACAACAGAAGGGCAACAGTGCAGTTTCCTCGCATCACCTTTCAACATCTCGCGGAGTCACGAGGCGGCCCAAAGAAGTCATCTCGTGGAGTCATCTCGTGGCCCAACGAAGTACTGATGGGGTGGTCATAATAATCTGGCCACTCAGTGTATATTTGGCTGTTTTTGGTTATTGTTTCTAAAACGTTCACAACCTTTTCACATGGACATTCCCGGCAGGCCGTGTATACACAGCGGCTGGCCGGGAGGTAGTTAAAGTGTCTCTAAATTGATAGCTTTTGTATAGTTTTGGATAGAGCAAGGAAGATTTAGAATCCCTGTCAGGTGTTTATTGTGATCTGTGTCCACACTAGGGAGATTCACCCTGTCTTTATTCTGGTGACCGTTGTCAAAGGAACTGAAAGTGTGCCATATCCAGAAGTTTGAGTTTTTAGTGAAACAGCAATAGAGGGTAAATCTTCTGAAGGGGATCCATGTTCCAGTGGAATATGTCTAAGAGGGGATTTCCCTTACTTTGGAGAGACATTCTCTCTTTTGTGTCCATAGGTCAGGAAGTGAAGGGAAATCTCCTTAATGGAACAAAGAAGTAAAAAAGACAAAAAAAGTGATGTATTTTGTCCACTCCATACTCTCTTCTAGGGATGCACCGATACTGTTTTTTTGGTTTAATGTGGAATAAGTACCACATTCCTTATAGTCAGGGCTCAAAATTTCAAGTCCTGAGCTACTAGCCAGGCCTTAAAAGTTACTCGCCACCAGTTGCCCCACCTAACCCTTATGCTCCCCCGGCCTTAAATCTGCCAGGTCAGCAGTGTGACGCAGAGTACAGAGATCAGTAACAACGCAAAGTACAGAAGTCACTGGTGCAATGCCGAATACAGAGGCCAGCGGTGTGACGCACAGTACAGAGATCAGCAGTACAGAGGTCAGTAATGTAAC